ACAGAAAATGATGCCCCAAACATTTGCCCTCTAGGAACATGCCTAGAGGTACATTTTCTCCCCTGTTCCTACCATGCACAGCCTAGGTGCATTCTGTTCTCAGAGAATATGCTCTTTCCATTTGATTCTCCCTTTACTCTGGGAGAAGTAAAAGCACAGAGAATTCACAAAGATTAAAGAATAGACAGGAATACATGAGAGGAATGGACAGAGAGAGGAAAATGGTAGTATTCTGCGAAACTGGACAAAAGCACCACCAGGTATCTGCTGCCTATCCTCCGGGAGCAGAAAGGGAACAAAGGGTGGGAGAGGCTGCTTTTATAAACAGATGTAACAGAATCCTTGACCAAGGGGGGGAAAAAAAACCAAAACAAAACACACAAAACCAACAACAAAAAAACCCCATCCCTCACACACTCTTCTGACAATAACACTAGGTAACATTAGACTAGTTTATCTACTCTACAAACGGAAGACTTCTCTGAAATAATACTTCATATAGGAATAGTTGCCTCATAACGGCATCTAGGTTGAAGGTTTCATCATTACTCACCAAATTCCAATCATATATACAACTTCCCGCAGAACCACAACTATTTTTCATCTTATAAAATAAGACCACGTAGCCAAAACGGGCCCGAAAAAGCTTCAAAATACTTTTAAGTTCCAAGTGAAAAAGAAGTATTACATGTTCTGATTAGAATTAGATAGCCTCTCCACAGCTGGCAAATCCTTATATGCGATAGCTATTTTAACAATACACATGAGAACAGCTTGGAAAAACAACCAAAGTAGTTTTGCCTCCAACATTAGTGTAACATCTTGGCAAAGGATATTTCTAGCAGCCCGGTCACATTCCCAAGGCAGACAGTAACACTGAACTACCCCGTAACCCATAAAACTCACCTATTTTGTTTGACTACAGGAATGTCAGCACCATTAGGAACAAGCTCCTTAATTTCTGTTGTACCAAAATTTTCCACAGTGATCTATTTCAAACAAACACAAACAGTATTAATCTTATGTACTGTGTAGAGTACTTCATCCCACCACTTAGCTACCAGCAACATGAACGACAGACATAGATGCTAAAATTCATCAGAAATAGCAGCTGGTGCTCTTGCTCAAACACCCCATCAGGAGCAGTTACAATAGATGGTATGAGCTTGATAAGAAATACACCAAACACTATATAAAACTTACAGTAAAATTAAGACAAAATGCTTCTTCTATGTCATCCTCTGGATAGTCCAGTAACTGTTGCATTCCCCTGCAAAATAAGTTACAAAGTACTTGTACCAGTGGAAAGAAAGATGAACTTATTTTCCTGAAGCATTCTTTATGCTTTGATAAATCAAATCTAAAAAACCCACTACTTGTAGTGTTATTTCCTTTTGATTATCTCCAGGTGTGAAGAGAGAAGATGCAAATCCTAGCCTTCAGCTAAGGGATTTCCAGACCAGAGGCAATAAGTACTTAACAACCATTGATGGGCTCTTCCATTAATTTGTTTGATTTCTCCTTGCATCTATGAAAACTTCAGCACTCAGAACACTGAGGTGATCAAACACCCACTTCCGCTCGTTGGAACCTCCTACCTGTCAGTGCTATCCAAATCCCTACTCAAGGGCAGATATTTAGCATGTACTTGTTCCTGAAATAAGTGAAAACATTTCCTTGATGGACTAAAGCTGTTCAGAACTAAAACTATGTTCACACTTAGGCTTATAAAATTGATGGCTAAAATTCAAAGGTTTTGAATGTAAAATTATTTTCCCCTAAAATTCTTGTAGGATAATAAAACAGGACACAAATACTACACCCAAGCATTAGAAGGAGGTGTTTTACAATAGCATGTATCCTTTCTCAAATGACACGATGGCTGCATCTCTCCGAGATGTTTATCCTGTTAGTGTAAAAATAACACATTTTCTTTATGTTCTTTATTTTTCCTTTATCTTCTCTAATTAGAAATTAATTCCTAGTAACACTCATTGTTCTCTCTTGCTTACCTGCCAACATCTGGCATCAACTCTTTTAAGTCATCCAGGGATGGTTTCTTATTCAATAGCTTTTTGTACAAAGCCAAAGGGAAATGAAGGTCTACAATAGTAAAATTATATATTGCTAGCCCACAGACAACACCAATCAAATGAAACAAGTCACTGTCTTCAAAGGTCTAAGAACAGAAAACAGACAAGATGGTTTAAAATAAAGAAGTTACTTTAATCTTGCAGAGTCCAGAAAAAAGTGTACAGTGCAGTATAGTCCAAGTAAGTTTCATTTATATTTTCTTTAAATATGTATGTACCCATAAGTACTGAGGAAAACATGATAAAGTTTTAACCAGCTGAGACAGACTGAAATCCCAGGAAATACAACTTTTTCTACTTAAAAAAATCCCCAAAACCCAAAATACCTGAGATACAACATATTTCGTGTTACAAGTGATGCTTACTACTAGTAGTAATGCATTAAGAATCTGTTTTTGTCAATGACTTACTATTGCACTATTCGGTGCCTAAATATATGTCAATATTGTTAAAAAATATTTTTGGCAGAAGGAAGGAGGAGGTCACTATTGACTCCCTTGGAGATAACAGTCAAGGATTAAAACACACCTGTGGAAATGTTAACGTTCAGGTATTTGTGATATAGCCACCCTAGTCTGTGGTCTTCTCTGAAAGAGACTAAAAAGTCACATGATCAAAACTCTCAAGAAAGTATGACCAGGTGACCACCTACAAAATAGACCCATAAATGTGACTAAACACAGAAAGACCTGTTCAACATGCCAAAACATGCCACAAGATTTTTTCTCCGCCACCTTGATTTACTGATTCTGCTCTCGGAATCAGTTTACTCTGGCTGGCACTTCTTCCTGCTAAACTTGTCTGAGTTGGGTACAACTGGTAAGAAGTGAGGAATAAGAAAAATAGAAGGGGAAAGTTTTGATCTAACAATGACAAAATGAACATTTTTTAAGAATAGTTACTTCAGCTTCTCCTCTGGAAATAAAATTACCACAAACTACTATGTTCATACATTGTTAATATAAATACTGTAAGTTAAAAGAAAATTAATGACTATAGATCATACCCTACCTTATCAGAGAACCAGATCAGCCTGGACTCTTCATAATACCTGAACATTCCATATTTGGGATCTAGCAACTCCCTCATGATAAGCAAAAAAAATTCTTTGCGAACACCTCCAGCATCAACAGCTTCTTCCCCTACAAAAATAACCTGAACCACACAATTTGGTTAGCATTGAACTAAAAACAGATTGTGAAACAAGATCTGTCCAAAAATATTCTCAATCACTTGCACATCAGTGACAGACACTTTGAGCAATATGTACTGATAGTACCTTTAGTGGCTTCTTGTAGTCCACATTCTTTGTTTTCCTTAGGACTTCCACAGCATCCCCTACAATATTGTCTCTCCGTACCATCAATATCAGGCATGGATTAACTGATTCAAATACTGGCAGAAAGAGAGAAGACAAGTTCTGCCTGTGAGCCTGATCAACAGCCATCTGGAAAAAAAAACACAAAGCGAAAGCGTCAGTAGGTAACATAAGACTCTTGTCAACATTCAACATCCATCATTCTTGTCTTAAAAAGCGCAGAATACACGAATGGGAATAGCTGTTAAGAGAGCTACTGAAGTTGCCCAAATTTTCTTCATATTCCATTTATCTCAGGAAGTATTTTTCCTATACCCATTAGCCTCATCAATGCTAATGTTCAGGGAAGTCTTAGAATACCATTTTTGACATTCTGGTCAAAATACTTCGGATAACAAAAGGAAGCAAAAAGATACTGCACTTTATCTAATGAAGACTAAGACGTTTAATATAAATCTGGCAAGGAAAGATCCATTAAAAACCAATTCACAGAATGAAAAGTGATTTGTTCATCTATTTAATTCGTATTATAATTTTGTATTTGTATTTTTTGTACTAAATTTTGTATTGTTCAAAACCAAAATACTGTTGCAAATGCTCTGAATAAGGCATAGAACTCTTGCAAGTTTGTGGGTTTTAATACTATTTTATATTGTTAACAGAAACATTCAATGTGAACATTTCCCTGAATTCATCTTATGTTCGTATTGACTGTGTATATACATTTTAAAGGAAGAAGAAACCATGTTTATTATGAACTACAAAAGCAAACTAGTGTTTTTCTACATAAGCCCATTACTTGAGCGTAACTTATCTCTTCCATTTAATTTCAGACTCAGAACAATGACTTTTATTATGCTAAACATTATAAACATGGCGGGGGGGGGGGCTGGTGCTCTTCCTACTCTTACTTTTGCAGCACCATCCCTTCATTCTTCCTTTCCCTTTTTAAGAATATGATTTATTATGCCCTTACAGCAACTGAACAGGTATGGATTATATGAATAAAAACATAGCTCACCACATCACAGTGGTTTCAGTTCTACCTAGAGAAACATGAAAACACTTAAGATCCTCTCAGTTACTTTACAGTTGTCTCAGATAGGAGATATGGGTAAAGATACACAATTGTTTGTATCAAGTACCTAATTTCTAGGAAAGTGTAGTTAAAACAGAAGGGAACAAATTAGGAGTAACATATAATTTCATTTAACAGGAAAAGTGCCAAAAACTACTGCAAACTGCAAGATCAGGAAGCCTACTCCCACTATCTCAAGTAGATGCTAGATTTTCAAGATAAGCTTCTTCTCTACTGCCTTGCAGACACTGATCAGACTTCAGAGTTTAGCAGCATTTTGAGGGTGGTTTGACAGATGAAATGAGAAATTAGGGGTGCACTCGGTATTCACGTGTTGCGTCTCTGATACTACCCATCAAGTACAGCGCTAGCTCCTAAGTCGCATCAAGGTAAGAAATTAAAAGTAACTCTAGCTGCCTCTAACAAGATAGATTTACTTCCAGCTCTGGGTTCTACACATATGTCATTTAAAGTCCACTCATATAGGAGGTGGGGTTAGGTTTTGGTTGGGTTTTTTTTTTTTTTGCACCTGTAGTATGGGTTGTTAACACCTCAAAAAAAGCTCTCTCATTAACGAAAGGAAAAGAAGTTCCTTAGAAATTTATGCAATTATTTAACAATGTAATTTCAACGAAATCCCAAGCCCACAAAATCACTAGTTTCTATCATTTACATACCCTGAGATTAACTAGATCCCTCCTTATTGAGAAGAGATTACAGTTGAAAACCAAAAAAACCCTTAAAAAAAAAAAACCAAAACAAAAAAATCAAAGAAAACATACACAAAAAATCCAACAGCTACAGCAACTCCCAAAGACCTCCAACTGAAAAAAAAAAATTCGTAACATTAAAACCAGAGACTCTTACCTGCATCTGTATGACTGCATCTGTTTGTAAGAGAGTTGTCTTTGCCTGGGCATCAAATACAAAAGGGTATGTGCAAATTGTAACAGGAATATCTGTTAACTAGAATGAAAAAAACATGTCATATCTCTGCTTACTTAAGAACTACAATCATGGCTAAAGAAGCCATTGCAATAGCACTCATTTAATACCTTTAGTTTACTGGAAAGAGAAAGAAATCTTTACCTATCGTCAATGCAGGACCAAAGCATCTTAGGAAAATTAAGTAGATTCTCAATTGTTTGAATTCAGCAAAAACAAACAACAAACCAAAACACACTCAAACACCACTCTCACTTCATACATTTTAATTTTGGAACTTTTATTACAATTAGTGAATATCATCAAAGTAGCTCTTGTTTTCAAATGCTGCTCTGAATTTGCAATTCTTTACAGAATTACATATTTTTGCCCCATAAAAACCTTTTCAGATTACAGCAACGCTAACTTAAAGCTTTATTCCCCATAGAACACATCAAACAATCCTCGACATTCATATTTCTGACTTCCTTACATTCTGCAAAAGAAATCAGACTGCAACCAATCTTACCTCCGTTAATCCATGGTTGACATCCTATGACAGCATTTGCACAAAGGTAGCAATAATCAAGATGAAAAAGTGGCATTAGTGTCTGCATTAATCATTCATCTCTGATGTAGAATTAAAAATATTTATCTACAGCTTCTCCCCCCAAGAGACTGTTTACTCAGAAATAAATATTGACCATAAACATTCTGATTAATCTACCAAATACAACCATGCCTTTCAACACCCTATATATCAGTCTTTAAAAAAAGGACCATTAAAGTATCACGTTTTCTTGGATGCAAAAAATTAAACATTTTAAATGTCTGCTACCATACACTAATAAATGACACTTGCTTTTACCTATGTATTTCATTCTCAAATGACTGTAGCATGACAACTTAAATGCAAAACATTTTTCATGAGCAAAAATTTAAAACTGCAAGAGAACCCCACCACTTTATCATGAAGTCTGAAGAATCACTGGGGTTTATGATGAGATATGACATGAAAAAAGCAATTGACTCTTGAAATTTGAGACAGACCAATACATATGGCTGGGACTGCGTGGAGACTTCCACAAGCTAGATCAACTGTGCTAAGAAACTAAGTTATCCATCTGGTGCTATGTACCTAGCAGACAGAAAACAGAAAAAAAATAAAAGGCAACGACAAACTAATACATTTTAATTTTTACTATTCATATGAGACTCAGAAGTCAAGTATGTAGACATCCAAGGCTCAGAGAAAGCGATGGCCAGAATACTTTGCTTGCTGTCTGTATCTCCAACTCTTACAGGAAACATCAGATTTGAGTAGGCAGATTTAGGCAATTTCATACTCCTACTGTATCTACCATTATTTATTCCAAATTCAAATGTTTTTTCTCAACTCCTTTAAGCCGTATCTCAAGAATGCCTCTTCAAATCAACAGTTCATTATTTAGTACCTTCAGCTTTTCCCCACTCGTTTTTCTGTTGTTGAAATAATAAAAGTTTTTTCTTCCAAGTTTCTCTGAGAATACTCTGAATACTCTTGAGATTCTCTTTTCTTCTATATTTTTCCCTCCACGTTTTAATTAAGGAACTGAGCAAACAGTTTTGCCTCGAGTTATGACAATAAAAATTACACTAGCAAAAAAAGTTCTGATTCATTATTACTCATTCAATAGGCAAGCAGGGTTTCTTACAATTTTAAAAGCAAGAACACGGGAAACTAGTGGATATGAAGCCAGGAAAAGGCCATGAAAACCATTTATGAGGGAAACCTAAGGCTATGAGATTTCTTTCAGTCCTATAATAAGTGAAAATAACTTTTTCTGCTGACTTGAAACTGCAGAAATGCATGAGAAAGTAATGATGATTAAAGAGAAATTCAGTACCTAGTATTTTCTCAATAGTGTCAAGCTACTGCTCAACCTTCTGATTTAATTAACAAATGGAGCTTAAGACTTTTATTACAAAGCAATTTTCCAACTCTTGTTTTCCCATTCTCAGTATTTTCTTCTCTGACTATGACACAAGCAATTTGGGTTTGTTTGCATCCATTTAAAGCATAGTTGCGAAGGTCATCATCTTTTAACTTCCACCACTTCTGTACCCTTCACTGGCATGAAGGGTATATATACCTGTCTCTAATTCCAAGACCCTTACAATGCTTATCCCTAGCTCCTACATTCCATTTAGTACACCACCCCTCTTAGCTACCAACACCAACCCACATCACACACTGGTTATTTTTTCAGACAAGCTTGGCCAAAACAAGTGTCCGTCATGACTGTCAGTAGTGACTAGTGACTTATTATTTCTTTACACTTCCCAATCCCCCTGCTGTTGCTATTTTACATTGCAATTTTTATTAGACAGCATAATTTGCTTTGTATTCATAAACCACAGCTAAAGTAGGTCTTCCATTTTCAGGACCTTCCAGGTACTGCTGCAAAAAAAATTAATTTACTTTCTCCAGCCACCAAAACTTAACTTACTCCATATTCTTTCAATGCATAAGTCAAAGAATATGGCAAAATCCTAATCAACTCATTAATTCTTTGCACAGTCATTAATTTACTCCCACTTCCCACTCCTGTTACAGATCCAAGAATTAATTATCTCAGTTCTTGTTGCTATACTCAAAGTGGAAAACTGTTAGTTATCTGTCCCCTGCAACTCCCTATGATGCTTCCAGACTTAGTTTTCCGAGACAGTTTCAGCTTTCTCACTGACTGAACCCATCTTATACAGCAATTCAGGTTATTCTGGATGTTTTCCTATCATGAATTATCACTTTCCAAACTTTTTTGCCATGGCAAGTCTCAAGTGACAGCATTCTAAATCACTTTTTAATTGATGGATTAAAACATTGAACAGTGTCAGTCCTAAGAATGATACCCTACAAGAAGCACATCTCTTTAACGATTCTTCCTCAGCTAATACCTGACAGAAGATGTGTGGGTTCAGCACCAGTGACCTGTGAAGGTATCTTTATGAAAAGAAAGTGCCCATATTTAGAGAATCTAGGGGCTTCTCTAAAGGGACAAAACCTAAACATGGGATAAAAAAATCCCACAAAAAAAACCCAAATATAAACCAACACAACTTACCATTCCAAATACCTGCTGCTGGACCCAGTTGACATAGTCATTTCTGATATCTATCAAATCTTGTATCTCATGAATGTAAAATCTGTCATACTGTATAACTTGTCCTCTTTCATTTACCTAAAGAAATACAATTTATTTTTTATTAGCACTTTGTATAACAGTTTTCAAAAGGACATTTTCCATGTTTTTCAAGCATTTGATATGTCAGCCACAGATACCCAGCTACTAAAAAATTATAGAAAAACAACAGTGCCTAAAAGAACGCAAAAAACCAATGTTAAAGACATGGATACATGGATTATTCACAATCCTATCAAAGATGCAAAGAAAAATAAGATTAAGGGAGGATACAGTATCACACAACACAGTGCTGCTAACTTCGAAACATCATACGATCTCACAGGAACAGTGATGAATATACGTATCTGTGTACACAGTGGAACAAATACTTGTTCCTGTATTTGCACAAGTTTAAGTACTATGTTCAAGAACTCTGTCCTTAATTACCGTATGAATACTATCTATATTACCCATGAGCAGAGAAATAGTTTCCATTCAAAAACATTAAGCTTAGAAAAAACAGACATGGAAAATTAACTTTATACAAAGGCTTGTCTCTACAGCATAATCCAGAAGCATCCACACTTGTCTAACACACACCTCTTTTCCCAAGGACTGTTAAGCACTGTTAACTACCAAAAGAGCAAGATCCTCGATTCTGTCTTCATAACCAGATAATCTAAGTCTACTTTTCTCCAACAGCTCCCGCACCATCCCCACCCCCTGCAAACCACCAGTTAGTAAATCTGTAAAATACCCTAGATATGTCACCCCATTTTTAACTCTTACTTTAGTCCCTACCAGCTAATCCAGACTACACCAATATAAACAGTTGGGCAACAGCGTAGGTACAAATTTAACTATTTCTACAAAGTAGCTACATATTAGTCAAAGTTGGGTTTAAAAAGTAATAGGAACTGAGGAGAGCCACGTTACAATTCTACAATTACCCACAAGGCTTTAAGATTTTAAGAACAACTTCAGCTGTTAAGGTTTACAGCTACTGCAAGCCTGAGCAGTACCAGAAATTCTAAAGGCAGCAAAATAATAAATTATTATATACCAACAGCTTTCCATATGGGAATCTGCAATGGACATCTTGCACTTCTAACACAAGACAGTTACTGAATAGTCTTACTGTCAGCCTTAATTTGACGGTCTCCACAGAGAATAAAGAAAAGCTGAGCAAACCACAGCATACAAATTCCAACTTTCGAAGCAGAAGTCTTTTCCGTTCTTTCTGTTACCTTGGGGAGGACGGCTGTCACATATAGCACACAAAGGTCCAGTTCAGACACCTGTGCCCATTTCTACGTTGTAAAAATACAGTACTTGACGAGCACTTAAGGACTGTCTAAAATGTTCTTTTAGCACATAAACACAAAATGCCATAGGACCAGAATGAAGTACAGAGGGAAGAAAATAGGGGGTGGGAGAGGAGACCTCAGCAGCAATTAGATAATGCACTGTGATGTGCAGAGTCTGGTTACTTCGAACGATTGGGGCTATTTTTGTTCAAAGTTCATAAATTCATTAGTTTTCGTGAAGTTACAATACTAACAAACCGAATTAACAAATCGGAAAAATAAACATTTGTCTTGGTAAAACCATGCAGATCTTTCTTGTTCAAAGTACAGCTTGCTCTTATCTTCCATTTGTGCTCTTACTTGCTATAATTTCAAGCTTAAGAGGCAATTCTTCCCAACGTACCCTCACAGATGCAACTGACTGGGTCAGTCTGTGTTCCCAAGAACACAGGTAATTCCATCACCATGTCAGATTGGAATCCAGAATTCCAGCAGTTCATAGGTTCAAACAGAACAGGTATCTCTGCAGACACAAGTCTAAGTATTTAAAACTCTTTAGTAACTTAACTTATTTTAACAACTACACAGCGCACAGATGCTGACAAAAACAAACAGATAAGTAATCGGTTAAAACTAACATAAACATACTCTATGCAGTATTTCCAGAACTCTGAAAGCCGTGTGCAGAAAATTGGTAAGTATTCTTCTTTCAGAAGCCGGAACACCCATCTTGCACAACTTCAAAAGGTGGACTACGACATCCTTGTAGAGTTCCACTATCTTGAGGAACAATGGAGGTTCAAGTACAGACCACCAATTTTCTGTCAACAAACAGAGAACACTGAAGACTTAGTACTTGACACTACAAAATTATGTTATGCTACCCTTTCAACTAAAACACATTTTGCTAGAAAGCATACTTGTCAGCTACCAAACACACTCTCTAGAAAAGAAAACTGAACACAGCAAGAGTGGTGCTGACTTTTAAACAGCAAACTACTCTCTGTATAAGTAATGAAACCCCTGTTCAAACGCTGTTACACACCAACTCTAAATCTGTTCAGAGTACATGACAGTATCTCGAAGTAACATTTGACATAAAAACAGATGGCTGAAACCCTGAAACCCTGACTTAAGCAAACAGTCCTGAGAGCAATGGAAACCCATGGAAAAGAAAAGGATCTACAGTTCAAAGAAGTTAGCAGTTTGCTTTTCTTAATGGCAGACAAGCCCTTTACTCTCACCAAAACCTACTGAAAAACACAAGAGATAGGTTAGAAGGAAAAAAAAAAAATTGCAGAATAATAAAGTAACCTCTCAAAAATACACCACTTTAAAAGCTAATATTCTGAAACCTCAATTCTTTAAGCTGAATTTCAGGTGACAGGAGTCATAATAAGAAGATGTAAGAAAGAAGGGTTAAAAAAATAGAGCTATTTGCAGCTGCATGTTTGGAGACGACATCTTAGGATCAGTGAGAAAGCACCAACCGCTCAAAAGCAACAAAACACGTGCTGTAGTCAAAACCAAGAGAATTTAACATCTGCACTGCAACACTTCTCTAAATTGCTTAGAGCTTGTTAGCTGTCTGACCACATAATTTTCACTTTAAAGTGCAAAGACACGTATCAAGTACACTGACCTACACAGTTTAATTCCTCCCAAATGGAATCAGTCCAAAAATTACAATACCAGATGAATTCATATGGATCGCCAGTTAACTCATCCAGAAGCAACAGATTAGGTGTCTTCTTACGCATCAAGCAATGTTAACCCTTAACTTTCTCATTGAGTAATTCTATAGAAATGTAAATACACAACAGGTGTTGCTGAGACCATGTCTTCACTGATGGAATTTCTATACCTTTTCATCTGGAGATCCTTAGTTTTAACAACAAAGAATTCAGTTTCTTACCAAGAACTTTCAGAGGAGCTTTTTCTAGGTTCAGAATAGCTGTTCCAAAAGGAATAGCTAATGTTGTGAAATTGTTTGCATCACTCATCAGTGGGCATTCTGGCAGAGTAAGATACAGCCTCAAAGCTTCAACATCTGGTAAGCAGCTGGTCAATTTGGGAATAAGGTTCTTTTCCAAACTAGCTGCCACCTAGAGCACATGATAAAATTCTGTTTATTTTAATGCAATTGTGAATTTAAGCAAATGCCTACCTAGATAAATAATCTAGAAAACAATCATTAAGTGTTTAAACTAGACTATTATACATTTAGAAAAGACAGACTATTAAATATTAAAATACAGTATGTTGATGTGCTACCTAATTGTCACAACACAATACAGTTTTACATATTTGCAGTTGATATATTATTGAGTAAAGAAAGTTATTAAAAAGAGTCTGAACAAGCATAACGATAGTATTTCTGGACAGGTGTAATGCAGAAAGATAATCCCAAATGTAAGGAAAATATGCAGCACAAACCTGTTGTGATATATGAGTGTGGTCAGGCTGTATAAGTTTGTGAAATAGTAGTCTAGCAGCATTCATATCAACCCCTGAGAATCTAGCGCTGGTTTTGTAATGATCATCATTGCTGCACAAATAAAAAAAAAACACAGAGAAAAAGACTGAATCCCGTATTCTCAGCAACTCGAGAATTTTTTCCACCTTGAATTTTTTGCCCTAACAACTAAGGAATTAAAATATGAGAAATCACAGCATCATACTTCCATTTCTTACATGACCTTTGAAGCAATTGAAATAAAAACCTTCTCTTAGCTACAAGACAATCGTGTAAAAATACTAGGATCTAAACCAGCCTGTACAATACATTCCCCTTGATTTATACACAACCTGTGGCAGAGATGTAATGAGTTTGGCTGGCTTACATGGCAGCAGCCAGCGGCACACACTTCCAAAGACTGGCAGGAGACATGCTGCATTTGGGCCAGCTGACAAACCATGTGGCAGTAAAGGAGCAGGAAGTTTAAACTGCAGGTATCAGAGTAAGAGTAAGACAAGGAAATACTGGGAAGGTGTTACAGTTGAAACAAGAGACACTAAGTGGAAGGTAGCCACCATTAATTCTGTTCACAGGAATACTTGCTGAAAAGCCTGACCACTTACCTCAAAGCCAAAAAGCTCCCATTCAGGCACCCAGCTGAGGAGAACGTTCCATCAATTTCACTGAAATTGTTCATACGAAATAAATTACATTTATTTTGTTTTCTTCTTGCAAATCAGCATTTGCAAAAAAACCCCTGTATTTAATCCCTAATACATTACGTTGTACAAAGGATGGAACTGACTTTAATGTGACTGAACAACACTAGATAAAACCTCCATTCAAGACTCAATGCTTAAGACGCTCAAATCAAAGCAAGTCTTGAAGTTTGTTTTTAATTTCCTTGCATCCTCCTTTATTAAAGCAGAAGCAATAATCTTTGAGTTGTTCTCATATTCCTTTACATGTACTGTTATTTTTCAGTGTGCAACTAGATACTTAATTTCATCTTGTACAGTCATCTAAACTGTGACAGAGATGACACACACTAAAGGATCTGAACTACTCAACAAGTATGACAATGAAAGTATAGCAAAAGCTATGTATGTAACAAAATCAGTAATTAAAAATAGCTTTGCTATGTATGTACAAAACCCCATCAATGCCAAATTCATAAGTAAAAGTATAAAAGACAACTTCTTTCCTCAACATCACTTACTTAGCTATCTCTACAGGAAGTCTTCCAGATGGGAAAGTCAGCAATCTTTGAAGAAATGTTTCATTCACAGTCCAGATCTGCTTCAAATAGTCAGGATACCTAAAATCATCTGGTGGCACCATGTTCTAAATTTTAAAGAAAGCGTAAAGAATCAGGCACGCAAAATTGTTTTCCAGAAAAATCAGTCCTGTGGCCGAGCTCTTTATCTCTTCATTGACTGACAATTTGCCTACACAGACTACTACTGTGAAATAAGCCCAAGGATAAATTTACCTTATTCTAGCAGTTCCGAATTCACTATGAAAGCAGAGCACACACTAAAAACATCTAGATGAGTGTGTTAATTCACACCACAGCTTACTTAATGGTAAAATCCCTAAGCATACAGTACTTTCCTATATGATGAACAGTAAGCAAGCTTTTGACAAGAGTAGCAAGCATCTCTTCTCCCTAGTCCCTAGGAGCCATTTAGCTCACTGCCAAGCTGTGAGCATACAGAAAAGAGCCATTCAATTTTTTGGACAGCTGTTCTTTTTGGACAGCTGTTCTCCCACCTCACTTCCATCAGACTCCTCTGAGAATGAATCATGTTTCTCTTAACATTCACCGCATCATCAGATGAACTGTATTTTGATGTGCTGCTCATACTGAATGAATTCCAGTAAAATTTCTAATAGTAAAGAGAAGCAGAACCATTGTTTTGAGTAGGAGCACTGGTTCAAAACGAGCTGCATTAGCATCAAAAATAAGGTTAAACTAGTGAAAGGAAACATATTTCTCCTGAGGGTGATGTCTGACAACACAGCTGACTCAATAGAATGATGACTAGCTGTACTACCAGTACTTCTGATCCCATCCTACAGGATCAGGATGAGATATCCTCTTGCCGTGTCCCTTGTGTCCAGCTGAAGTGTCATTTAAACCCACAACGAAACAACTCAGGAAAATAAGCTGCCCAAAGACTAACTTGAGAAAACAAACAGATTTTGGCTAAGATCCCTTAACTGGCAAGGACAAACAAGTCCGAAGAGTACAGAACTCACATAACTTTTAAAAAATTCAGTACAAACTACCAAACTAGAGAGTATTAAAAGGGATAGTTTTGCAGCATCAAAGTTCATTTATTGCTAATACTTCTTGTACAGAACAAGCCACAATAACTGCATTCATACAGTCTCCAGTTCACTTCAATTAGTCAGAATCTACTTCAGTAATTATGAAAATTACACACGAGAAAGTGTTTAAGACAGGAATTTTAACAGAGAAGTTTTGAGCCTATATTACCAGTAATTTTTCCAGTCTAGACCTGCCGAACAAACTTCTCTCAAACAGTTACCACAACTCAATCAGAATTAAGAAAAACAAACAAAAAAACCCCACAACTAGAAAAATTGTTGATTCTGTAGCACCAGAACGGGCTGTGGAAGCAAAAGGCTGCTGCAAGCCTGACCTGTACTCAGTTTTTCTTGACAACAAATATGTTTCCCACTAAAATCTTTTTTCCTTCGCATCCAAGTTAGTTTTCACCCCACATACTCAACTTTGATGCTTCATTAACCCCTATGGTCTAATATCTGCTGGGCTATATTGGAAACAGTCACATGTCTTGCAACTCATTCTCTAATAGCATTTCTTTTCCATCATAATCCCACATTGCCATTTTTACTGTAAAGTCTTTCTAGACTTTTTCTCCATACTAGAATTTAAACAGATCAATTCTTGTCCTTTAAAAACTTAAGTTAAGACTAGCATAAAACTCTTATCACATAACAAACTATGTCACCACCTGCAAGTTTTCGCAAAAAGCTCCATTTGTTTCCTCATCACTGTGGTATGCTAAAATGTCAGGAGGCACTAAAGAGAACTGGGCAGGGGTGAAGAACTCACACAGTCAACCACCTTTTCCTTTATGAAAGGAAGTGTGTGCATCCACCACTCAGGAACAAAGCTTATGCCAAAAAGCCTCACGGGCTTACTGACAGCTAACACTCAGTAACTGGATCCAAGTCCTCCAGTTGCTAAACTGACAGTGTTTTGTGCTTCCACACCACTCTAATAAACTCTACAAAGTAAAATGCACCTTCAATGCAAAAACCTTTTAAAATGTATCAGAAAAAACTAAAATTTGACTTTGACAGACTTTGGAAGCAAAGTATATTTAATTTGTTACCTGTGGATAGAAGTAGTGTGCAAAACTTTGGTCCCCACCAGAGAAAATTCTCTTTACACAATAACACTCCTCACTGTCTGCAACAGGAATAAAAAACAGGCAACTGTGAAAACATGAATTTGAGAAATGATTTAAGACACTGCAATCAACAGTCAATTAGAAGAAGGTTCCTTCATTACCTAACCTCGCTGAAGCAGGCATCTGCAACACAATAGTTAAGACTATCTGTAACTGAGGTAAATGCTAACAGCTCTAAGTTTTAGCTGTAGTGCTAACAAAGGACCTAACCCAACAGCTCAAGTAAGCATATATCTCCTACGGCAGAACCGGACTTTGGGGAATAGAGCACAGTGAAAATAGACTGTTTGGAAGAAAGTGATTATAGCCCATATTTAGTTTAAATCTCAAGATCTGTAAGACACTAAAAAGGAATAGGAATCCAAGAAGCAAATATGCCAGATGTTGCTTACCTGTGGCTATTGGGCACTGAGTACTATAAGGAAGCCAGTTTCCTTTCACTGTGAAGGGACTTTTCCTGTTACTGGTGGTTCCTGTACCTAATTGCCCATTACCTCCGAGCCCAAAAGAATAAATTCTTCCAGATGAAGGAACAAACGCAGTAGTGTGCTGCCTAGGGCAAACAAAATTCAGTAACAAAAAACTAAGCATTATAACGTGCTTTGTGCAGGCCCGCCTAAGAATTGTGTTAAACAGTATATTTAAGGTCCTGTAGTATCAAACACTGCAATTGTCCATTGGCAATGCACAGGCAATACTCCATTTATACTCTAACAGGCAACATTCCATTTTCATGGGCAAGTTCACGGAACGGTGATGTCAGGTTCTGCCTTGAACCCCTGCTTAGCCACAGTCTGACCTTTAGAGCATATCTCTAGACATTCAGAAATTTGGAGTTCTACCAGATTGGCTGCATCTCCTTTCCACTACCATCCTTCTCAACTCTAGATGCCCTCTCTCCTATCATGAGCCTGGGAAGAACCAGTATTGAATTTACATAAACGACCAAAAGGGAATGGGTCCACTCAGTGTCAACCAAACTGCTAGAAAGATAGGTTTACATTTACATATTCTTTAACCCAAGCCATAAACTGCACCCATATCTTAAAAAATTACGTTGCCTCCCTCATTTTCTTGTCTTAGAACACAATTCTTTGGACAATTTCATTTGATTTGAAACATCATTCATAGAATTTTCCTGTCTGCTGGGAATTTTTTCAATTTCTTGGGTCCTATTATAATATATACAATAAAAACCCATTAGAAACTGAAGTACCATACAGTATTACAGGTATTTCACCAAACAAGCTACGTTTCCAAATTTTACACTTATCCTCAGTGACACTCATGTACCTCCCCAAACACACTTGCTCTTTAATAGGAAATGATGAAGTGACAGCAATAAACAACACCTTCACACTGATTATTCACACTTTCAGTTTAGAAAATCAGAGCCCCTCGAATGGTATAACTTCCTTTAGCTCTTCTATTGAACATTTTTTTAAATCCCAGTAAGGTCTCTAAATGCCCTTTGTTAGAGACTATCTTGTCTTTCATAATCACAAAGGGTAAGAAAAAACCCACTTCCTATTGCAATATCAATAAACTTTTATAGAAAACAAGTTATTTGTAAGATTCATAGTGCTAGCCCAGAATAGACCTTACCTGCCACAAGTGATCTGTGTGACAACACTTCCCATAAGTTCAAAAACTTTCCGTGGGTTTATCTCATGGCTGGTAGAGTTATGACCCAACTGACCATAGCCTCCAGCTCCAAATGTAAAAACCCCACCTTCCTAAACAAATAAATTATTTGCATTAAAATGACAGTATATCTCAGAACAAGAAACTTAACAGAAATAGGGGTTTAATAAATCTCCTTGTCTGATGATTTTGGAATTCTGGGGAAAGGAGAGAAAACACATATGCACAAGAGGGCCCCGAGACACAGAAGGGTCACAAGTTAATTGCAGTTATGAAAACGTGGCACAGCTATCAAGTATTACCTTACTCATGTTAAAACACATTATTGTAATTTCCATATTATTATACAATAGTCCTGCCATTAACTTGTGTCATTAATGGATACTAATCCTCATTTTTCCTCTTTTCCAGTTTTCTTGATGAACTACAACAGTATGTAAACTCACACTATTAAAAAAGTATACTTTGGCTTTTAAATTCTGACTACAAATTTTAAAGAAATTACCAAATAGGAAGCTGTCCTCCTTCGGCAGATGATGCAGAGTATGACTGAAATAGTCAGCTTCGTTATTTGAAAGCGTAAGAAACCATAAAACTTCCAACATTGTTGTAAGGCAAGTAATTTTTTTTAAAGTGTTTTGATTAATTTAATCAAGAAAGTAACCAAAAACTTTAATGAAAGAATGTTAAATCAGAAACATTTTCAGAATTTATAAAACCTACCTTACAACAACTTTGAAACTTTCCCTTTTCAAATGCTTTGAAACTGTAAAGCTGGCTGTTTCAATTCTACTCTGCATCAGACTGGACCTCTGCTGGAAATCATCATTAAAATGGCAGTGTCCGCTGAGAAAAACCAACAGCCTCATTCACTGAATCAGGATAACAAACAGTAACAGGTTTTTCTGCATTTCAGAAGGACCTGAAGAATGCTCGCACATATACTCAGTACTGTCTACAAATGATACCAATCAAGACCCCTCGTTCTGCAAGGCCTCACATGCAAGGGAAAATGAAGCTATACAGACTGGTAACATAAATAATTTGTAGAACATTTACAGTGAAGTCAGTATCTTAATCAAGTCCATTAGCTTTACCTCAAGTTTGAAGTTAACTTTTGTACATGAAAAAGAGAAAAACATTTAGCATGCAAGTTACAGATTGCTGTTTTCTTTACATTCTGTATTTCCCTAACCTCGCACAACACATCAATATCAACTTCAGGATTACAAAGTTGCCACATCTTTTTCAGTCAAAGCGACAGAATATTTCAGGATAAAAAGCAATTGTTTGTGAACAGTCTTTTCCTTTCACTGTAGAAAATTACGTGTGTGTAAACAACAAAAGTATGACCACATTTAAGCAGACCATATTCTTCAAAACAACTTTTAACCTGCTGCGGTGTAAAAAAAAGCAAACTAAAACATTAAAAAAAATCTATACATTTTCCAAAAGTAAGTAAAATTAGATTTTTTTTCTTCAAAAATAAGACACTAAAAATAGTTACTTTCAAAACTTTAATGCCTTCTACTATTCTGAATTCAACAGATTCAGACATGAAATGGACACTTAGTCACTTGCCCAAATCTTGATTGGACAGAACTGTTTTCTACTGCTATCAGAAGCAAGCTCAAAATATTCTGTTTATAAATTGATATATTTTATTGAGAGCAAGGAACAACAGGAAATGTCAAAATGTTAATACAGACTGATTTATACCTAAATGTTGAAATCCAATCCAACTATCAAGACACAGAAAGAAAAGTAGAGGAGTCAATCATTTAGAGTAAGACATGTATGTATTTTTTTAGCCACTGCAAAATGAAGGTACTTATCATCACTTGATGCTTGAAATACACTATTCATCACTAAAATGAGTGTAAGAAAGAGCACTAGCATTATACATTCTATGTTGCTCCTAAGTGTTTGCAAATAAGTTTAAAAATAAGACTCCAAATAATGCATTTAGCCAACAGTTATGTGTAAGGCAATTTGACACATTTCAGCTATTTTAATCAATTCCTGTATTTCTGTACAAACATGCCACTCTGACACAGAATACATGCCTTTTTTTCCAAATTGGCCTTGAAATAAATGACCAACTTTTCATAGAACCTCACACCATAATACTTACTAGTGGATTATGTAAATCATTGGTTTCTGCTATTGGTTTGCAGTAGTATGTAAACACTCCTGCACAACAGCAGCCAGGAGAGAGGAGTGAGAATATGTGAGAAACAACTCTGCAGACACCCAGGTCAGTGAAGAAGGAAGGGGAGGAGGTGCTTCAGGTGCTGGAGCAGAGATTCCCCTGCAGCCTATGGTGAAAGACCATGGTGAGGCAGGCTGTTCCCCTGTAGCCCATGGAGGGCCACTGTGGAGCAGAGATGCACCTGCAGCCTGTGGAGGGCCCCATGCCAGAGGAGGTGGATGCACCCAAAGGAGGCTATGACCCTGTGGGAAGCCCGTGCTGGAGCAGGCTCCTGGTAGGACCCACAGACCCGAGGAGAGGAGCCCAGGCTGCAGCAGGTTTGCTGGCAGACTTGTGACCACACAGGGGACGCACGCTGAAGCCATTTGCTCCTGAAGGACTGCACCCTGTGGAAGCGATCCACGCTGGAGCAGTTCACAGAGGACTGTCTCCAGTGGGTGGGACCCCACGCTGGAGCAGGGGAAGAGAGCAAGGAGGAACAAGCGGCAGAGACAAAGTGTGATGAACTGACTACAATGCTCATTCCCCATTGCCCTGCGCTGCTGGGGGGAGGGGGGCGGAGCTAGAGAAGCTGAGAGGAAAGTTGTGCCCAGGAAGATGGGAGGGGTGGGGAAAAGGTGTTTTAAGATTTGCTTTTATTCCTCATTACCCTAACCCTGACTTTTAATTGGCAATAAATTAATTTAATTTCCTCAAGTCATGTCCATTCTGCCTGCGACAGTAGTTGCCGAGTGATCTCCCTGTCCT